CCCATTATAGGCACTAATAGGAGATTAAAAAAAAAAAAAAAAAAAAGGCATTCACCAAGCCTTCCCGTTGTGAGCTCCTTTCACAAGGCCAGCAATATCCACTGCATTTAGGAAAGCAGGAATCTTTGTTTACTGGTTTACCATACTGGCAAAGTGGAACTTTTCATCTGGCACAGGAACTCTATTCTCACTGGGGTAAATGACACAGAATGGGAAGTTTTCTGCTGAAGCCTGACTATTGGTTAACATATTGAAAAAGGTAGACTTCCCAACATTTGGCAATCCAACAATACCCACTTTCAGTGAGGTTCCAAATCTTCCAATGGTTGGGGATGGTTTAATTCCATTTCCTATTTCCGGCCATCGTGCTGAGGGTGAACGATTGCATGGGGTCCCAGGATACAGACTGATTACACTGGCAGCTAGAGGTATTGAGGAAGGTGGGTTGGTTTGGTTTTTTGAGCCCAAGACTCTGTAGCTCAAGCTGGTCTTGAACTCATGGAAATCCATCTGTCTTAGTCTCTCAAATACTGGGGCTAGGGGCATGAACCACGGCATCCAGCTTAATTATCTGTATTTCTGATTTAACTATATCTACCTCTTTAAAAGTACAGATTTAAAAAATAAGGAAAGGGGCAGGAGAGATGTCTCGGTAGTTAAAAGCACTGACTGCTCTTCCAGAGGACCTGGGATCGATTCCTAGCACCACACTGATGCTCACAACTATGTGTACTCCAGTCTTGGGGGAATCTGATACCTTCAAGAAAAATACCAATACACAAATAAAAATAAACAAAAATGAAGAGAACTAAAACAAAAATTAAGTTGTCTTGGGCAAATTGGTAAAGAAATTTATTTTTCCAGAACCTGTAATACTGAAATTTGCTTTGTTGTTTTTTTTTTTTAATATGCTTTGGATACAGGTATGGTGGTATACATGCCTTTAATACTAGTGCTTGTGAGACTGAGGCAAGAGAAGGGACCATTCCAGATGGCCTGACAACTTAGTAAGACCTTGTATCAAAATGTAATTTAAAAAAGAGGAAGGGTAAAATGGCCTGAGATCATTCTCCAGAATCCACATCAAGACAGAGAGAACTGATCTTACAAAGCTGTTGTCTGGTTTTCCATACATGCATTATAATACACACCTGCACTTACATTCTACACACACACATACACACACAGCTGGAAAAATGGCCCATCAGTAAAGAGCATAGGCTGCTCTTCCAGAGGAGCTGGATTCGGTACTCAGCACCAACATGGCAGCTCCCAACTATCTGTGACTCCAGTTCCAGGAGATCTGATACCTTCTTCAGGCCTCTGGGTATCAGGCACACACATGATGTACATATATACATGCAAGAGAAACCTAAAATAAAAAACAAAATGCAATCTCTTGTTTAAAAAAAACAAAACATTTTTTTAAAGATGTTTTGGTAAGCAGGGCAATGTGACACATGGCTTTAATCCATGTGTCCATGTGAGGCAGTCAGGAGGATCTCTATGAGTTCCAGGACAGTTTGCCAGGACAGCCAGAGCTATACAGAGAAAATCCTATCTCTCTCTCTCTCTCTCTCTCTCTCTCTCTCTCTCTCTCTCTCTCTCTCTCTCTCTCACACACACACACACACACACACACACACACACACACACACACACACGAGACAGCCAGAACTATACAGAGAAAATCCTATCACACACACACAAAGAAAAAATAAAGTCTTGGTGTATTTAAAAAGACCTACATCACACAAGGGTTGGTGGCTCATACCTGCAATCCCAGCAGTGGATGGAGAGGCTGAGACAAAGGACTGCTGCAAGTTCAAGCCCAGACAGTGCAAGATAGCAAAGCCTTCACTTGTTAGCTTTTTAAAAACTTAAAATCAGGAGTAAATCTCTATTCAGTACAGTACTGAAAATTCTAATCAGCACAATTAAGCAAGAAAAAGAAATAAAAGCCATCCAAATTGGAAGAGTAAAATGACCTTTGTTTGATCTTTGCTTGAGATGACATGACCTTACATTAGAAAACCCTCAAAGTCCTTCATGTGCACAGACAAAGAGTAGACTTAGCTAGGGATTTAGCTCAGGTGGGAGAATATTTGCCTAGCACATGTGAAAAACTGAATGTGGTCCTCAATGCTGGATAAAATATATAATGTATGATAGTACACGTCTAGATTCTCATGAGTATGAGGCCAGCCTGAACTACACAAGACCCTGCCTCAAGAGTTCCTATCACTACCAAAAAGAGACATGGTGTAAACAGAAGGAAATCATCTAGGAAGCAAGCATGGTAGTATTTTCAGTTATCAGGGAAGCTGGAGTAGGAGGTCTGCTTAAGCCCAGGGGTTGGAGATCAGCTAGACTACATTTAAAAAAAAAAAAAAAAAAAAAAAAAATTAAATCTGTGACTGATCAAATTAGGGAAGTCTTTATATTAGAATCTACCATCATATTAAATGTCTTGAGAATGACGGCGGATTTTAAGAATGTTCTTGTTTTTACAAGACATATATCATAATGTTTAAGGAATACAACAATAAAGTCTGAAGTTTTCTCCACAAGGGACAGAGTGGAGAGAACAAACCAAAGGGTGAGAGATTCTTTTAGGGTAAAAAAAGTATTCCAAAACCAACTGTGATGATACAGGCACAACTCTATAAATACATTAAAACTGCTGCACTCACTGTAAGTGATTTTCTGTGAATGAATTTCACCAAACTTACTTTAAAAAAAAAAAACAAGAACAAAAACATTGTATTATACATTCAAGACTGCACAGTATATAAAAGTAAATTATCTTTTGGTTTTTTTTTTTTAATTAAAAGAATTTCAACTTTATCTGCAGAGAGTGGATGACTTCAGGTCACAACTCTTACACAAGTTGATACACGCACACTACAAAAGCTTCAGAAATTTTCCAGATAGTCCATTAAAAATGCCACTATGAGGGATGAGGATCCATCTCAGTGGTTAGAGAGTTGGAAACACAAAGTTCAATCTTCACCCCATCCCCCAAAAATCTTACATACAACAATCGACTAACCACAGACAAAGGGGGAAAGTTAGCAAGGCCCTGAGAACACAGTACCTCCTGAGTCTGAGATTAAATGTTTTCGTAACTATACCCAGCTTCTATGACACTTCCTAGTTTTCCCAAACATGCAGCACATGCTTTCCTAGCTATGCAAGACATTTAACTACATTAAGAATAACTATCAGCTGGGCGTTGGTGGTGCAAGCCTTTAGTCCCAGCGCACAGGAGGCAGAGGCAGGTGGATCTCTGTGAGTTTGAGGCCAGCCTGATCTACAGAGCTAGTTCCAGGACAGGCTCCAAAACAATACAGAGAAACCCTGTCTCAAGGAACAAAACAAAACAAACAAACAAAAAAGAATAACTATCAAAACAATTTTAAAATGTGTAAAGAGAGAAAGGGGAACAAAGGAAACAAATCAGTTCTTTACAGATAGAGAAAAGCGGGAAGATGAGAAATTCTTTTCAACCTGATGTGTGTGCTCATGACTGCAAGCGCAGCACTGTTATGGTGCCTATGTGGGAGTCAGACTTCAGGTGTAGATCTTCACCTTCCGTGTTGAGACAGGGTTTACCTGCTTACCACAGTGCAGCCCAGGCTAGCTGGCCCACAAGCTTTGGGAATTTTTGTCTCTGAATTTAAGGTCAGCCTGATCTATAGAGTGAGTTCCAGGACAACCAGGGCAGCAGAGAAACTGTCTCTAAAAGTAAACAAACAAAAAAAGCAGAGCACAACCAAAAGGAGAGAAGAGCTATTTTCTAATTCTAAGCACCTTTTTGCTTAATTTTAAGACACAGACAGTGCCTGCCTTTGTAGCCCAGGCTGGTCGTAGGCTTATGACCATCTGCTGGGATTTCAGGTGTGAGCCACCATGCCCATCTAGCCTTTTATCGTTGCCTTGTATACTACTTGACTGTACCTCTCCTTCCTAGTATTTGTCTTTTGGGGTAAGACTATAAGAATCACTTGTAAAATAACTAGGCAAAATGATAACCAAAAGCTACTAAACGCCAAGGGTGATGCTGCATTCCTGTCCTCCCGGTGTTAGTAGACAGGAAGTGTGGAAGAGAAACCGAGACCTTAAGAGCATCCTGAGCCACATAGGAGTTCTATGCCAACCTAGGTACTATGAGACCCTGTTTCAAAAAACCAAAAAATTACTAATTGTTAGTTTAAAAAATAAGCCTCCCTGGGCTATACAGAGATTCTGTACAACTTTGAAAGTCTGTCTCAAACTACAAAGTAAGGAAAGATCTGGGGACAGGCAATGGTGGTACAAGCCTTTAATCCCATCACTTGAGAGGCAGAGGCAGGTGGAGATCTGCGAGTTCCAGGGCAACCAAGGCTACACAGAGAAATCCTATCTGGAAAAATTAAAAGAAAGAAAAAAAAAAAAAATTGGGGGAAATATAGCTCAGTGGTAAAGTGCTTGCCTATCATGCATGAGGTCCTAGGTTCAATCCCCAGTGCTGGGGGATTGGGGATTTAGATATTGGGGATATAGCTCAGTTGTAGAGCATTTGCCTAGCATGTGTGTGAGGTCCTGAGTTCAAACTCAGCATCTGGGGCTGGAAAGGTGCCTCAGAGGTTAAGAGCACCAGCTGTTCTTCCAGAAGTCCTGAGTTCAATTCCCAGCAACCCACATAGTGGCTCAAACCCAGCATCTAACCCCTCTCCTCCAAAAAAATCCTCTACTCATAATAATCCTGCCAATACTAAATATTAAGAAGCAGTAACTTATCATTTCATTTTTTTGTTCTGCATTCTAGGACTGGGAGGAATTAGGACCTGTTGCTTTAAAACAGTAACAAGTTATTTTGTTTTGGTCACCAAGACAACCAAATTCTAACCCCATGGATGCTAGAGTACATTGCTCACCATTCCTCCTGCTAAGCTGCAGAAAGAAAGAGTAAAGGAGGATAAAGAGGACTCTTTACAAGGAGAGAATAAAGCACTTACACTTCAAGGACTTTCTAGCCACAGATGCCAGGTGCTACCCACTGAAATCCAGGCTTGGACTAAGCTCCACATTCTCAAAGGGCCATCTCAACCGAAGCCTGGGGCTCAGAGTCAGCAGGAGGAAGCTGCAGCTCCCACTAGCAGCACATTTCAAAGAGACTGCAACAAGAGAACATGTTCCATTTAAGGGCTAATTCCAATCTCCCTCTTGACACAGCAGCAGCAGCAGCCGAACAGACCTTTACATCAGTCTTTTCTTTCAAAGGATATTTCCACGACTCTGTGATGAATATGGGCATTCTATGGCCCTGCAATCCTTTCACTAGCATGCCTCAAGTCTTTCATTATACTTCACAGCATATCTGCAAAGTATGTGCCTTTCTTCTTTAACGATGCACTGTTGTTCCAGGACTCACTGGTATACCAACAGCTCTAAAACTGCCAAATCAACCAAAATCACTCAGCAGGCCTCAACAATGCAAACACATACCCAAACAGGAATGGCCAAAAGAGTCATTAGCTGCCAGGGTTTAGACTCAAATCAGGGCTGCTAATTAACCCAGCACAAAAACAAACAGATTTACTTGAAAATCCTTCAGAGAACCCAATATCTCTGACAAACAGAAATGAGTTTCTGGAAATATATTCAATGAGACGTGAAAAGTAACATAAAAGTATCTGGTTGTTGCATTTTTAAAGGAAAAACCAATCAATGGATGATAGATTTATTAAATGAGGGTTGCTAAGAAATACAGGTCAAATAATCTAAGTGATCTTAACTTCCTGTATCTATTAAGCTCATCAGAGCTGGGGCTGGAAAGAAGGCTCAACAGTTAAGAGCACTTACTCTTCAGAGAATATCGAAGTAGAAGAAAACGTGTGTCTAAAGCACAGCCCAGGTAACAGGGCTTCCTGAAAGCCAAAAATATAGAAACCTATGTACTTCATTCCTGCCACCTAAGTAAATTTATAATAATTCAAATATTTAATGAAATTTAAAATTTTTATAACATTTTTATTTATTGTGTGTGTGTGTTTAAATGCAAGTGTGCCATGACACATGAGTGAAGATCAGAGGTCAACTTGTGGGAGTCAGTTTCTCCTTCCTTTAGTTCCAGGGTCTGAACTCAGGTCATCAGGCTTGGCAGCAGGCACATCTCATTAGCAGAAGGGGTGTTTTTGTTTTGTTTTGAGACAGAAATTCCATTGTAGCCCCCAGTATCTGGAATTCACAACAGAGCCAAGGATGACTTTGAACTTTTTCAGAACTTCTTGCCTCCATATACCCAAAGATGTTACATGCACCACTACACCTGGTTTTATCCATTGCTGGAATCAGAACCCAGAGCTTCTTTGTACATGCTAGACAAGCACTCCACAACTGAGTTACACCTCCTACTCAACTGATGAAAGTTATTATGTATATTAACCATGATGATAAAATTGAGACTCAAACATTTTAAACTTATAAAAAAAAAAAAAAAAAATGTGTGGTCAGGCTATGATGGCACACACCTTCAATTCCAGAACTCAGGAGGCAGAGAAACAGGTAGATTCCTTTGAGTTCAAGGACAGTTTGAAAGGTCGAGAGAACTACAAGACTGCTCCCAACTAACAATCTCAGCTTCCGTGGAAAGGCTATCATAAATGCCCTTCCCGGAGAGTGAGATCAACAACTAACTTCTCCAAGGAGCCCTCAACTAATGCCTGTTGAAAATAGGAGCAAACACCCATACATAAACACTGAGTCGAACTAGAACCCAGAAACAGATGGAGAGGACAAGACCATGCGGTAGAAGTACATAGAGACAGCTTACCTGAACAAGGAGGAGCTAAGGGCCACTAGACTGATAGCTGGGAAGCCAGCATGGGACTGACTCAGGCCCCCCTGAATATGGGTCTCAGCCAGAAGGACTGAGCAGTCTAAGAGACCTCAGACAGTGGAGCCAGGATGTATCCCTGGTGCACAAAAGGACTTTGCAAACATATCCCCCATGGAGGGATAACTGCCTTATTCTAGAGACAGGAGAGAAGCCCTAGTCCCTACTTCACAGGACCTGTCACATCTGCATGACCCCAACTGGATGGCATTCCCCTACATATGGAATTGTGGTGGGGGGGATGGGAGGGGAGGGTGTTTAGAGTGCATGTGAGAGGGCAGAGAGGGTAAAAGGGAGGGAAGGATGGAGGGGAGGGAGGGAGGGAAGGAGAGGGAACTGGGATCGACATGTAAAATAATAAATTTAAAAAAAAATGCTTTGACTCCAAAAATTAACTTGAAGAATAAGTTACTGGGGAAAAGGATTTCTATTTTTGTTTCCACAGAAAATGAAAAGATGTGGATTCCTTCCAGACTAATGTGGTTTGATCAAGCCAGACCGCCTGAAACAGAGTACAAGCTGATCCTACATTCAAAACAGCTGGACAAAACAGCCCTACAGACTACAGCCAGGATATCTGAATCTTCTTCGAATCCCCCAAGACAGCGCCCCTTACCAGCAGGTAGTTTGGAAAGAACGACGCCCAAATTCCCAAATATTGTGTATAAATGTTTGTTTTCATTTAATTGGACTTTGTTATATAAAATTAAATAAAAAAAATTATAAAAAAAAAAAAAAAAAGAAAAGAAAAATCTGTGTAGCAGTGCCCTGGTCCAAGTGTTCTGGCATCTGTACTGAGCTGTCCTTGGGGTTCTGACCAGATATGTCCTCAGCTGAAGCCACTAAGAGCACCTCCTAAGCACATTCAATATATTCCCTTTTAAAAATGCCCTTCCCACCTCCTCTTCTCTCTCTCTCTCTCTCTCTCTCTCTGCTTCTCTGCCTCCTCCGCACGCCTCTATTTTCTCTTCTGTTGCCCACATCCCCAGAGGCCTGTTTCCCCCTCCTCCTTACCCATCCCTTTCCCCTGATTAAAAAAAAAAAAAAAAAAAAAAAAAAAAAAAAACCCTCCATGTGAGCTCTGTTGCATAGTGTCTTTCTCTCTCGAGAAGCTTTTTAATTATAATACCAAGACCAGGCAGACCAAAAATAAATGAACGAATCCAGGTAAGAATGAATAGCACCAGAAAACAGACAATCAAACCCACAGAAACACCATCACAAATTCACATACAGTCTCTAATACTCCAAAGCCATGTCTACCCTGACCAATTAATGTAATGGACTTATTTAAACTTGCATTCCATTTTAATTAAATAGCCATGCCTTGCTAATGGCTCCCATATGGAATGATGCAGGTAGATTAGGGAAATCTTAGGGTAGCTTTTCCTCTTCGTTGTTTACTTACATACTCAGTCTCTCTCAATAAGAAATGTATACTTATTCATTTATATTCATTAAGCTAATTGGCCCTCAGAAGTTGTAGTTTTTATTTTCTAAAAAGGCCTCCTTTCAAAATCAAGTTATGTTGATCGGAAGAATCACGGGATTCCAGGTGGCTCCCTTTGTGTGGCTGTGGGAAGCCATCACGTATACTGGTGAAGACTTTGCAGGGCAGCTGCTTTGGGGCCATCAGTCACTCTACATGGAAATCAAGGCAGAGGAAGCCTAAGTGGTGAAACTGGAACATAATCTATGACCTAAAGAAAAGCATTATGAAAAAGTCTGTGTATGACTATGCACGTGACAAGCACAGGTGCTAGCTACACCATGTAAGCAGAGACACTTGCTTACTATTTTGCCTCCAAAATAAAGTTCAGAAAGGAAAAGTACTAGAAAACCAGAAGCTGATAGCCATTGTCCATAACCTGACATGCCATGTAAGAAAATTTCCATTGACAAGTGACAAATCAGATCTTAAGGAATCCTTATGTGATAGTAGTTTGCACTAAATATTTAGAAAGCTCTGGTAACAAAGGCCGGCTCTGGCATGTTTAAGAGGGTCTCATGGCCAGGTTGGCTTCAAGTCAGTATGTAGCTGTCTTCTTGTCCCACCTCCCACGGGTTAGCTTTATAGGCATGCCCCACCACATTTGGTTTATGCAGAGCTATGGATCAAACCCATAGCGTCATGCATGCTAGACAAGAACTCTACCTGCTGGGCCATACCCCTAACCCTGAACTATAACTTCTAAGGTAACTTCTAGCCCACAGATTATCTATGTAAAAGAACCAACGTAAAACAACTAAGCAGCATAATTACTAGCTCTAGAAAGAGACAGTCTTTGTTCCCCAGAGCTTTCTAAATTGTCTACTAATTTTATATACACACTGTAGGTGGCCAAAGGAAATACTAAGTGTTCAGAACATGCAAGCTGCTATCACATAAGGAATCCTTAAGATCTGATTCAAAAATAACTTAGTTTCTTTTAAAACACCTAGGAGTTGTCAGTGCTATCTGCTTACCAGAGAATGTAACTATGGCTGCAGTGTTCCAAGAATTTTGGTGAAAAGTCTGTAAAGGTTCTTCAGAAAACACCAGTTTTAGCTAGACTGATAGAACACACCTGTAATCCCAGCACTTGTCCAGCAGAGGCAGGATAAGGAGTTGCAGAGGTTTCAAGGGCATCCTTGGCTATAAGAGACACTGTCTAAAAAAAAAAAAAAAAAAAAAAAAGAAGCAAAACTCCACACAACAAAAAAAATGGAAACAGGTAACACCAAAACCGTAGAAACTCTTGGGGTGGGGTGGGGGTGTTTTCAAGACAGTGTTTCACTGTGTAGCCCTGGCTGTCCTGAAACTCACTCTGTAGAACAAGGCTGGACTCAGTATCATAGAAACCTGCCAGCCACTGCCAGGACTATGAAACTATAGTCCAACATCACAAACTATCTTAATGGCTAGACCTAAAAACCAAAATCTGCCTGGGATAGGGTGAGCTCAGATGGAGAAAGCCAAAAATGAATCTTTTGGCTCAGAATTATAAACACCAAGTACAACTAAAGGCAGACACCCAGCTCTGTATAAGCAGTAGATAGCCCTAGATTTTCTCCCTGACTCTGAGCAGGTGGGACACTGATGGCCTAGCTTATAATTCCCAGGCAGAAAACTAGAGGACTCTGCTCAAAGTAAAAGTGCCGGGGGAGGGGGGGGATGGGATATGAGCAACATGAAGACAATAAGAGATGCCATAGGCAGCAGCCCATCCTGAAGCTGAGTCAGGAGAAACAGACTAGCCTAAACCACAAACTAAGATCTAGGCCAATCTGGACTATGTACCAAGATCCTGTCCCAACTACCACTCCCCTACTTCCCTATTTTCCCTACAAGCAGGTGGGGAAATTTAAGACGATTACTCACTATAATTCTAATAGGAAACAGAGACAGGAGGATCAAGAATTCAAAGACAACCTGGCTACAACAAGAAACTCTGCCCAAATCCCCCCCCCCCCAAAAAAAAGACCTAGAAACTACTCCTCAGTCAAGGAAACACCTAAAGAAAAAAAAAAAGTTCTGAGTTTGAACCCTAGAACCCACAATAAAAACAAATAAATAAAAAGTGAGGCACCAGTTTGTAATTCCAGCATGGGGGAGGTAGGGCTCTGCTAACCAACCATTCTAGTGCCAATCGGTGAGTTTTATGCCAATAAGACTTTCTCTCAAAGAAGATAGAAATCAGTTCCTGAAATGACACCCAACCCTGACCTCTAGGTCACTCACATGCACCTTCTCACACACAAACGTGCACACATAAGAGAAAGGGAGAATAAAAGAGGGTTAAGGAACCTTTCTCAATTACCAAATGAAGGGACAACCCAAGGAAATGCTATGAAATCCAGGAGTCAGTAGACCCAACAAAGAAGAAGGTAAAGGAAATTCCCTACTCCTGAACAGTAATTAGACAACAGAACCAAGAGAGGCTCTGTAAATGAAAAGTTCTCAGAAAGAAAAGAAACAAAAAACCCTTGCCAGTGTTAAAAAAAAAAAAAAACTCTATACTGCTGAATGGCTGATTAGAACTGATCATAGGAAGCTAGAAGGTTGCAGATACAGAGTCAAATTATCTTGGGCTATTTTTACCCCCCTCCCCATAGCATTCATTGCCCTCTGACCTTTAAGGTGTGTTCTTAGCAAACCACTAACTTCTATGAATCTAAAAGCTAAAAATGTCATCAGATAATACCTAAAGACTACTGTAGAGCCAATTGTGGTGGCACATGTCTTTAAATCCAGCATTGGGGAGGCAAAGGAAGGCAGATCTCTACAAATTCAGGGCCAGCTGGTATATATAACAAATTCCAGACCACTCAAAGCATGACAATGTCTCAAAAACAAAACTACAGAAACCCTACAAAACAAAACAACAACAACAAAAAAACTATAGCAGTTTGCTTCTTTCCTATAACCTGTTCATCCAATGTCCCACCAATGTATTCTGTAAATCCTTTAATTCCACTTTCCTTGTTATTTATTTCTTTGTGTGTGTGAGAGGGGGGGAGGGAGGGAGGGAGAGAGAGAGAGAGAGAGAGAGAGAGAGAGAGAGAGAGAGAGAGAGAGAGTTACACAGGAGGGGACATCCGATCCCCTGAAGCTTGAGGATAGCCAGTTGTGAGTTACCAGATAGATAGATAGATAGGTGCTGGGAAGCGAGCACTGATTCCCTAGGACAGTGAGCACTCCTACCCACTGAGTCATTATCTGCAGCCCCACTACCCTGTCCTATCACTAATACAATCTCACACAACCCCTTCCATAGTAGAACACATTGCAGGGCACCCTGAATTCATGCCTGTGGACCACGGTCACTCCTATTTGACTGAAGAATAAACTCTCACTGTCTTTGAGGTGAGGGCTATATTTGGGGTTGATAGATCTTAGGGGCAACAAGCCTTTTCCAGTCAACAAGGAAAACAGACGGCTATGAACATTTACGGCAGACATTTTATACTATGGACATTTGGGAGCAAATGACTTGATATACAGAAAACAAAACATATGCTTTAAAAAAAAGAGAAAAAATAAAATAAAATAAGGATATTGCTCACCAAGCATAAAACTTTAAAGTAAAACTTTTTAACTTTGAAAAGAAACTGAAATTACTTAAGATTTCAAAATAATAAAAACTCCACCATTGGGTTACTTGAAATTCTTGAGCCAGACAACAGTAAATAATGGACTGTGCTCGGAGAAGACTGTCTGAGTAAGTGATTTGGAGGTTACCTGAAAGGAAATAAAGAATCAAGAGGATGCTCAAGATGGGCAAATGAGAGAGCTTAGCCCATGAGGACACGTGCTGCCAAGCCTGACAACCTGGGATAGACCTCTAGCATCCACCAGTCAGAAGGAGAAAACTGACTTCCACAAGTGTGTCCACACACAGTAATTTAAACGCTGAAGTTGCCTGAATGATGACGTGTAACTGCTAATATTTTCTCACCCTTTTTCTACTATCTTTTCTGCTCCAGTAGGCTGTGTCTCCCCCCCCCCCCCCCCGCCCCAGACTAGGTCTCTCTACATAGCCCTGGCTGTCCTGAACTCATTACGTAAACCAGAGCTGACCTCGAACTCAGAGATCCTCCTGCCTCTGTCTCATGAGTGCTGGAATCAAAGGTGTGCTCCACCACACCTGGCAAAATCATATTTCTTTGTCTTCCCACTTGTAAACAAGGATTTGGGTCTCACATTTACACTCAACGATCAAAGTTAAAGTGGCAAATATTTTTAAAAATTATGTACTTGCATCCTAGGGGCTTATTTAACAGGAAAGAGCACTATCAAATATTAGTTATGAGTTAGAGAAGGGAGAGCAAACAAAAATATGCTTGTGACTATGAAATGCAAAAATAATGGGAGGGGACAAGTATGTTGGACTGGATCCGCAGCACCACACACGAAAAGAAAAATAAAGGCTAATGTTTAGTCTGTATGAGACTCCTCAGTTTTCAAAGAATTTCACGCTCATAGACTAAAACCTACACACGGTCAGTAAAATCGGCAGCTATACAAACTCATAAAAATAATACATAGCACAGCAGGATGGTGGTGGTGCCGGCCTTTAATCCTAGCACTCAAAAGGCAGAGGCAGGAGGATCTCCGAGTTAGAGGCCAGCCTGATCTACAAAGTGACTTCCCAGACAGCCAGGGCTACTCAGAGAAACCCTGCCTCGAAAAACCAAAATAAATACATAAAACAGCAAAAGTGAGGGAAAAATACAAAACGCGTGTCAAAAAAATTATATATACATGAGCTAAAAAGTTTAAACATGAGTAAACATAATAGATATAACATAAACACTCCACCACCTGTTCATATAATTATATGGGCTAATAAAAGCAGTTACGATACCCATCTTACAAATAAGAACCTGAAGGTGGAGGAAATAAGGTAAGAATCCAATATAAAACAACTCCCAAAGATTTCCTGAAACCATCAATTTTTCTTTATGTTATGTTGCACTCCAAAACAAGGGGGAAGAGAATCTAGAAGCCTGAGAAATTTCTAGAATAACATGAGTGAAAATCGGCAAGGAACACTGAGTGAGGCTGTGGGTAAGGCTACCAGCGGACTTGCCAGATGCGATGCAACCCTTTGGACATGGAAGGTGAGTCAAAAGCATCCTTTCATGGGAGGTGGGGAGGATGGGGTGCCATTAAGGGTGTTGAAGGAAGACAAAACAGAGAAGCACGGCCTAGCAAGAAAAAGGGGGGAGGGGGGCCTAGCTAGATCCATGCCACAAGCGAGATGTACAGAAATACAAATCGGATTCTACGGGATAGCGGAAGGGCCAATTCGTGGCCGATCGGTGTACAGGAGGCGTAGATGTGGCTGCTCAGCCCCACCCCACAGCAGCAGCTCCTTCGGAAAGAGGCTCTTCCGAGGCCAAGCGCCCGGCTCAGGCTCTCGGTTCAACCCTAGATCCCACCCGGCCCCAGCCCCGCGGCGCAGGGCAGCCTCTTCCCGCCGCTCACCGAACGTTGCAGCTCCCCAAGCCAAAACGAGGCGCGCTCCTTTCCGCTGGGATCCGGGTCGTGGTAAAGCGCCTGCACTGCCTGGTACACGAGCTGCAAGGTTGGCTTGGCTCCCTCCATGGTGGCGGCGGCAGCGGTGACAGCGACGACTCCGACACTTCTCCCAAGGCTTCCCTCTTGCTCCGCCTCTCACGCTTCCTCACTGCCTCGGCCACAGCCGCTCCCTGACTGGCGCCATCTCCTCCTTTCTGGCCGTTACCAGGGAAGGGGGGTTCCTCGTGGAAGTTGCCCCCTCGGAAACAGCGGATAGGTCGTTTCAGGTTCCTGGCTCCCTTTTGTCCCGTCTTCCTGCTAGAATCCAGACTCTCGAGTCCGGACGCGGGTCCTTGGCTCCTCACCTCCCGCCTTGCTCTCAGAGGCCTAGCTCCTCATGACACAAACCACGCTGCGAACCTGAGCAGAGCTCCACCACACCGGAAGCAGCCGCCCGCACACTTTCCGCACACTTCCGTCTGGTGCACTACAAACTGCCTCCTTCCCGGCACGCCTCCTCTTGCTTCCCGCCTCCTCCCGGAAGTGACCCTGCGGGACCGGGAGAACGGAAGGGATGGTATACAAGGTAGATGTCTACGTCTTTAACGTCTTACTCGAGCTTTAAGAACCGCTTGTGTCAAGTCCCTGACCAAGTCTTATCTCCTCGGCAATGAGTCCAAAGTCTTTGCTCCCGCTTCCTGCGTCTGCATCCCTCTCCAGGGAGCCCTTTCTGTCTCCTGTGGGCATTTAAGGAGCATCATCAGTTCAACTGTCTTCGAAGGGCCAACTCTCTGTAGTGTGCTGCAGAGCCAAAAGTCACGTAAGACATGGTTCCTACTGTTTCCCATTAGAAGCATCTAGCTACACTTAACCAAACCGGAAGCATGTGCCACACTGAATACATCCAGCATGAGCGCTCTCTCTCTCTCTCTCTCTCTCTCTCTCTCTCTCTCTCTCTCTCTCTCTCTCGCTCTCTCTCGCTCTCTCTCGCTCTCTCTCTCCTTAACATTCAAAAGGAATCTCCTGTTCTGTTTCAGGTTCTTATCCATCTATCTCTAGGGTCCTTAGCACATTGGGTGTGGCTTTTGTAATATACCTTTCTTCTCTATCAAAATAGAATACCCTGTCAGATTGTGTGGAGAGGGCCTGTAATCTCAGCTCTTGGAAGATGGAACCGTCACAGAACCATCAAGAGGAGTTCAAGACCTGTCTTTAAACAGATGGGACAGTGCTAGTGCACACTTTTGATCCCAGCACTTGGGAGACAAAAGCAGTCAGGCAGATCTCTGAGTTCGAGGCCAGCTTGGTCTACAGAGAGAGTTCCAGAAAAGCAGAGAAACCCTGTCTTGAGGGAAAAAGTTAAAGTAGATTAAATTTAAAATAAATAAAAAAACAAACAGACAAGCAAAAGCAAATCAATAGTCTAGCAATTCTCAGGTCACACACAAAGTAGTTTCCCAACATTGTTGTTGCACTAAAAATAACTGTTACTATCTAATCAATGTTGACAGTGTGTAAAGCATTATAGCTATAGATTAACAACCTTCTAAGACAAATCCTTGTTTATAAAAAAAAACTTTTCAAAGATTTATTTTTATGTGGATGAGGGTTGTACCTGCATTTGTGTGTATGTGCACCATGGTGCATGCCTGGTACTGGGTGAGTTACAGACAATTGTAAGCTGCCACATAGGGGCAGGGAACTGAATCTGGGTCTTCTACAAGAGTGGCAAATATGCCCCTAAAACTTTGTTCTTTTTCAAAACAGAGTTTCTCTCTGTAGTCCTGGCTGTCCTGCAACTAGCACTGAAGACCAGGTTAGCATCAAACTCTGAGATCTACCTCCCTTTGTCTCTGGATTGCTGGGATTATAGGCATGCACCACCACCACATGTGAAATCTCATTTTAAAAGAAGTGAATTTAAGGCTGTTATTGCTGGCTCAGACCTGTGATCCCAGTGTTTGGGAGGCAGAAACATGAGGCTTGCTGCAAGTTTGAAGCCACCAGGCTCTTCATAGTAAGTTTCAGGCAAGTCTGTGTTACATATTGACACTTTGTTTTTTGTTTCGTTTTGTTTTGTTTTTTGAGACAGAGTTTCTCTGTGTTGCTCTGGAGCCTGTCCTGGAACTATCTCTGTAGACCAGGCTGGTCTCGAAGTCACAGAGATCTGTCTGCCTCTGTCTCCTAAATGCTGGGATTAAAGGCGTGTGTCACCAATGCCCGGCTCTCAGAAAAAGGAAGAAATTAATTAATTAAAGGAGAGAATGAAGGTAATTTAGTTTGCCCAAGGCCACGAGGTTCTTAATGAAAATTGGAATTTGATTCAAGATCAGATTTGCTGCAAAACATTTCAAATAATAGAACTTCACATTCCTTTGTGGTGATGGCACTTCTGAATTGTTATTATCAAGAAATTTTAACTGCCAAGATGTGAAAAACAAAAAACAAACTTATAAGCCTTGATATAACTATTAGCAAAGAAAAGAAACTTAGTATTTCAGCTGCCTGACTCATTCAAGAAGAAAAGATTTGGTAAAGCCACCTTGGTCTCAACTCTCATTGAGTTTACAGTGAAATTGCAAACAAACAAACAAACACAAATACAAGTAATTCAATAGATAGTAAAAAGTTGTATGACTGTCCTTAAACAAAAGAATGGTGGTTGTAGTGACTTGAATAAGAATGGCTCCCATGGGATCCTATATGTGAATGCTTAGTCACCAAAGAGTAGAACTCTTCCATATAATTAGAAGGATTAGGAGGTGTAGCCTTGTTCAAGGAAGTGTGTCTGTCACTAGGCATGAGCTCTGAGGTTTTCATAGGCCGACACAGTTTCTGTCTTCCTCTCTCCTTCCCTGTGGAACAAGATGTAGCTCTCAGCTACTGCTCCATGAGTCTTGCCATGCTCCACTGTGATGATAATGAACTAGACCTCTGAAAGTGTAAGCAAGCCCCCAATTAAATGCTATCTTTTATAAGAGTTGCCTTGGTTGTGATGTCTTGTAACAGCAATAGAACAGCTTTAAAAAGGTCATAGGTAGGTCTTAAATATAAGAGTTAAAACTCTTGGACGAAAACAGGTGTTTCTTCATGACCATGTGTTATGCAATGGCTTCTTAGCTATGCTACCAAAACCAGTCAAAATAAAGGGAAAGTTCAGGGGCTGGACAGATGGCTCAGTGGTTAAGAACACTAGTTGCTCTTCCAGAGGACCCAGGTTCAATTCCTAGTACCCACATGAAAGCTTGCAACTGTCTGCAACTCCAGTTCCAGGAGATTCAACACCTTCACACCAATGCACATAAAATAAAGTCAAATAAATTTAAAAAGAAAAGGAAAAGTTCACTGCACTTCATGAAAACTAAAAATTTTAACACCCGACCCGGAGACATGGCTAGGCAGTTAAGAGCATGTGTTGCTCTTTCAGGGGATCTAAGTTCGTTTCTAGCACTCCTGTGGTGGTGCACAGGCACCTGTAACTCCAATTCCAAGACATTCTTCCTTTCTCCTCAAGCACCAGGTATGAACATGGTGCAGGCAAAACATGCACAAAGTAAAAATAAATAAGAGTTATTGAAACATGGGCTAGAGAGGTAGCTCAATTGGTGAAGAACACTCTAGCATGAACAAAGTTCTAGGTTTGAACATCCACACCACAGAAAACAATGTGGCGACACACATGTGTAGTCCCAGCACTGTAGAGTTAGAGACAAGAAGGTCAGAAGTTCATGGTCATTCTTGGACACTTAGTTAGTTAGAGGCCAGTCTAGAATGTATGAGATCCTGTCTTCAAAAAATGGAAAAAAGAAATGAAACACTCTAAATTGAAGGAGTCTGAGATGAACACCTAAAAATATTTTAAACTAATACCAGGCTGATAGATGCATAAGAAAATAAAGTAAAAAGTATTATTCCAGGCAAAGACAACAACTGTTAAAGTCTGTAGGAAAAAAGAGGAAAGTGTAATGTACAGTCTATAAACTGAGAAGTCCGCACCAGGTGAAAATAAAAAGACTTGATGAACCAAATGGCATTCATTTCAAAACAGAACAATACAAAACCACTACAAAGAACCCCAGGGAAATAGAAGAGAAAAAACATGCAAAGTTCAGGGACTGGACCCTGACTCCTTTGTCCCCCAAAGTCTTCAGTCTCCCATTGAGCTTTTTCTCTTTGGAAGCTTGACGACACAGAGGAAAGGAAAAACACTATTCTCTCACAAGATTCACTGTTTATTCCAGGATTTCATACAAGTTAGACAAGCACTCTAATGCTGAGCGACACACTTCTCTCAAGATTAATTTGTATAATTCATGTTACAGTCAATGTACTCACCCTTCACCTGCTTTTCTTCAGGGCATGGTAAGGGCCAAACTATAGCCCAACCCAGGCTCAGCCAATCACCTTCAGACAATCACAGTCACGTGGCTTTGCACACTGCTGGCATCTCCCTGCTACCCAGCCTGCTCTTGCTTCCTGAGAAATGGATGCTTAGATCCACTGATGACTCCCCTGTCCCCTAGCCCTCTGCCTAGTCTGCACTCAGGGTATACCTGCTCTGGTTCCATTCTGTGGATCTAGACCTTTGACCCTGTCACTCCCTTTGTTATTGTCCCCAGTCTTCTAGATTTCTCTACAGACTTTCTGATTTTCCTTTTCTCTCAGCGCCCAAACACTTCCCCTGCAGGACTCTAACTTCCATGACTGATCATTTCTATGTTTCTCTGTTATGCATTGCCACAGATGAGGGGTGGGCTTCTAAGAAATTCCATTGCTCAACTGCCTTTCTGGCTCCATTAAATTCAAAACTCCAGGGCAAGTTCTCAAGTCATTGCAACTACATGTGGGATGGCGGCCATGCCTTCATTTTGCTACAGAAGTTTCTCAGTGGGACAGATACTGGCATTTGGGGCAGAGCACTCGATCCTCATACAAGTCTGACCCAAATATTGCAGACTGTTACTAACATACCTCAGTTATGGTGACATCCAAATGCCTCTACTTGAGTCCTCTTCTATTTTTTTTTTTTTTTTATGCTGCCCTGTGAAGGTGTATGAGGTGCCAGGTGTTCCAAAGAGATGTGAGGAGCAGAGGAAGTCCTGATGAATGAGAGATTCATCCCATCCTTGGTCAGCTCCTTCTAGGGGTATGCTCAGTCCCAGCTGGCTGGTTCAATAACCTGGAATGAACTTCTGGGAATGCTTACAGGCAACTCACTCATTTCACCAGTTTCTTAATTCACAAAGAAACAAAATACAGTTGCACCATGCAATGTTATTTTTTTGGTGTCTTCTCTCCATGCAAACACCAGTAAGGTACCAGTTGTGGTTACTTGCTTTGTGCTAAAGCTTGTGACAGGCTAATTTTCAACAAGGGATTTGAACAAGCTATTAGAGAATTACACATGACTAATACATACCCAAAAAGAGGTTACGCTTCGGCAGTGTTCAATGAGATGCATTTAAAA